ATGCTGTCTTTGCTCTTTGCCACACTGTGTTGACATATTGGTTCTTTTTCTCATCACTGTGACCAAATGGCTGACAGAAATAACCTGAGGAACGATGTATTATTTTAGCTCAGAGTTGTGAGAGTTCAGTGCATGGTCCCTTGGCTGTTTGGAGCCAGTGGTGAGACAGAACTCATGACCAGAGCATGTGGTAAAGCCTCTTAACCTCATGGCAAGCAGGGAGCAGATGGGATGGGGGTTGGGGAGAGGAACAAAGATACATACCCTCAGAACACTCTCCAGTGTCCTTGCTTTAGTTAAGCCCACTCCAAAAGTTGCCACAACCTCCCTAAGTAGTGCCACCGACTGAGAACTTATGTGGGCATTTCACAGTCAGGCTTTAAATGGTCTCTGTGTCGTAAATAATGTTCTGAATAATAATGTTCTGAATGCCAGGATAAATTGCCATTTCAACTCATTTGGAAATTTCTATTAAGTAATGATGGCTAAAACTGACTCTTGTTCTCTATAGACACTGACCAGAGAAGGCTTTGAATCCATCTCCAACAGCTCCAAAGAGCTTCTAGTCTCGGCTCTGCAGGAACTGGAGACCAACAACTCCACACCGAGTAAGCATGTCCACTTTGAGCAGAACATGTCTCTCTTCCTCTGGTCCGAGAGCCCCAACGACTTGCCTTCTGATGCTGCCTGGGTCAGTGTAGCAAACCGGGCTCAGTTTGCCAACAGTGGCCTCTCCATGAAAGCCCAAGCAATCAGCCCTTGTGTCCAGAACTTCTGTTCTGCCCTGGATTCTAAGCTGAAGGTTAAACTGGACGACCTCCTGGCCTACCTTCCCTCCAGTGACACACCATTGCTCAAGGATACCACCCCCATGCAGCAGCCTAAGAACTCTGCCTTCGATAGATATGCGGATGCCGGGACTGTTCAGGACATGCTGCGTACTCAGTCCGTGTCCTGCATCAAGTCCGTTGTGGGCTGCATCCAGGCAGAGCTGCGGACCATTGAAGAAGTCACACAAGACCAAAAGGATGTCCTTCACAGCACCAAGCTGCATGCAGTCCTCTTCATGGCCAGACTCTGCCAGTCCCTGGGAGAGCTGTGCCCTCACCTAAAGCAGTGTATTGTGGGAAAGTGTGGGGGTTCTGAAAAACCTGCAAGGGAGGTGAGGGCTCTAAAAAAGCAGGGAAAGGGGAAAGCTCAAGATGTCCTCCCCGTGCAGGCCCAGTGGCAGGAAGTGAAGGAAGTCCTGCTCCAACAGAGCGTGCTGGCCTACCGGGTCTGGAGCTCAGCGCTTGTGAAAGTGAGTCACAGGACTTCCTGGTCTTACACCAGTCTTACTGTCCTCAGTGAGGTTTAGAGACAAGTAATGCTTACTTCATAGTTGCTACAACATGTGCCAGGCAGCTCAGATGTAAGCTCTTTCCTGTTCCTCAGTCTAGATTTTTACAGCAGGCTTTCCTCTTGCCAAGCTGCACAGGGAACCCTGCTTCTTGCTCTTGTGTCAATACCACAACTTTCTACCAGTCCCTGGTCTCCCACAAGGTGACATTTGACATCACTACAATGGCTAGCAGCTACTTCTTGCTGATCATAAACTTGTCAGGAGAGTGGTCCTGGCTGCTTACCCACACGCTGGTCATTTTAAACCAACACTGCAAAGGCCCTGGGGAACTAATATGGCCATTCTCTTTTTATCATTCAGTTTCTGATTGGTGGATTCACTCGATCATTGCTTTTAAGTGATGCTGGCTCAGTCCTGGCCACTGCCACCAATTGGGATGAAGTAGAAATTCAAGAGGAGACAGAGTCTGGCAGCAGTGTCATGTCTAAGATCCGCCTCCCCACTCAGGTGAGTTCATTCCACTGTCTCAGGTACTTGGCTGCAAGAGGGAGCTAACTGCTCTGGAGAAGCAGAATGGTTTTGGAAAGTCATTTCCTTATGTAGATTCTGAGGAGCAGCTGAGTGGTCTTCAGGTAGATGCTTAACTGGAGAGAAGTGTCAAGGAATACATGTGGCCTGCTGGACGTAGTTAGCAATGTATTGTTCTGATCTTTCAGCCGTCCTGGTATGTACAGTCCTTCCTGTTTGGCTTATGCCAGGAAGTTAATCGGGTTGGAGGCCATGCCTTGCCAAAGGTCACCCTACAGGAAATGCTGAAGACCTGCATGGCCCAAGTCATAGCTGCCTATGAGCAACTCACAGAGGAAAGCCAGATAAAGGTGGGTATCCAAACAGACCTTTGTCTTGGATTTGGGTGGTTTAAAGGGTTCAGAATAGACCATATAAATGGTCCATGTTCTCAGGAGAGGCATCCACCTCTGCAGGTTGACTTTCTCAAGGTCAGATGGCATCACAAAGTTCATTATTGAGGACTGGTGGACAGGGTAAAAGCTTTCACAGTAAAAAGGGCTGAGTTTTGGCCCCAGTGCCACCAACGGCTCATGCAGGCTCTGGGCAAGTCTTTAAATCCCTTGATCTACTCAGGACCAACTGTAAGCAGGTGAGAGTGAGGGATGGCAGAAGCTATGGCACCAAGAGGTTCCCTTGAGGATGGTCCTAGCTTCAGCCTCCACTGCACCTGTGCCTCGGACCCTTGACTCATCCTGTTTCACTGGGAACACTTAATGGCAGGGCCAGTCCTGACTTGGGGGAGAATACGTTGATCTCTCCTGAGCCTCAGAAGTCATACATCTCTCCTCAGGCAAGAAGCCTTGCCCATTTGCATTGGCCACCCTCATCTAGGAGCCTGCCTTTAAGGGCTGGGTCTTTTCCATGCCCTGAGATTTTAAGACCAGAGTTCCGTTCAATACTTTCGAGACGGACGTGGCCCTGTGGGTGTCAATAGCACCTTCTGAAACTGCACCAAGCTGTAGTGTCAAGCAGAACCTGCAGCTGCACATGGAACCATGTAAGGAGTCACCCCTCACCAGCCAGCCTTCACTTGCAGAAAGAAGGGACATTTCCAACAACCCAGAACCGAGCCCTGCAGCTCCTCTATGACCTACGCTACCTCAGCGTCGTTCTGACCAGCAAGGGGGAGGAGGTGCCGAGTGGCCGGAGCAAGGCGGACTCCAGGTGAATATTCCTACTGGGGCACCTGCAGGGCAGCCTCTTCCTGATGCAGTTAGTGGACAGCACCCTACTTGGGAGGGTTTCTCTTGGGATTTTTCCGTCTTATAGTGGTGGAAGAACGGAGCATTCAGAAGCCATACTTCAAGTCCAGGATTTAGATCTTTGTCCAGGCCAGCAATAAAGAAACAGAATCTTGCACTGTGCTGACATCTGTGAGCTGAACACTTGAGCAGCCCTGAGGCCATGCTAAAGGGAGAACACTCACTGTGGTGGCCTATGCCTCTAAGCTGTAGTCCAGCCCCATCTTAGTCCCTTCAGTAGCGTGTGTTGGTGTATGGCCACATCTAAGCTAAAGACCATCTGAAGTCCCTTTCTGGAGATGCCCTACAAAGCCTACCACATCCTCCACATTGACTGGGTTTCTTTTAAACTGCAAGTCACTGTGTAACCAGTGAGTCAAATAATACCCGGTGAATGCATTCCACAGCTAGGTGAAGCCAACAGAACCTCAGTCCTGTTCAGTAAGTGGCAGGCATGGACCGGACATAAGCCTTGTGTCAGGCTGTCTAAGGACACTAAGCAAGTTAGTTGGGTAATTCTCACCTCTGGAGTTTCTGTAAAATCCTGCCAAGTTGTTTCCTGTCCTGAAGTGTGTATAGAATAATGTTTAACTCTTCTCAGAATTGAGAAGATGACCGACAGGCTGGAGGCCCTCATTGACCCTTTTGACCTGGATGTTTTCACACCGCATCTCAACAGCAACCTCAACCGCCTGGTGCAGCGGACTTCAGTAAGTTGGGCCACAACCATGCTCAGTGTAACAAAAGATGAGACCAAAGTGTCTTCGGTTCAGATTATAAACCTGCTAGAGTCCTCCATGCACAGGAGTGAAATACAAAGAAATAGCCACTTCCTAGATGAGAATTAGGTAAAAGGCTATAAACTGGGACAGCCATGTTGGAGGTAAGGGTTGGTGAAGTTTATTTGCATGGCCTCACAAAAAGGAATACATGGGTGCCAGCAGGATGGGATGGCCCAGTGTGTAAACAAGATGCCACCAACTGCCAACACAACAGCTTTAGAGCTTTAGTACCCAGGACTCAGGTCTGAGAAAGTCACCTTCTGACCTCTGCATGCCTGTGCATGCTTGCTTGCTTGCTTGCGCGTGCGCTCTCTCTCTCTCTCTCTCTCTCTCTCTCTCTCTCTCTCTCTCACACACACACACACACACACACACACACACACACACACACAACACTAAATGTGGGCTGGGTGGTACGGTGGCCCATGCCTTTAATCTCAGCACTCGGAAGGCAGAGGCAGGTGGATCTCTAGGAGTTGGAGGCCAGCCTGGTCTAGAGAGAAGAGTTCCAGGACAGCCAAGGCTACACAGGGAACTCTGAAAAGAACTACATGACTTTTAGATTCTTACCCATAGTACTAAGGACTAATTTTGAAAAAGTTAACACTTAAAAGTACATTCACCCAATCAATAGTTAAAAATAACCCACCAGTGAAGTGTGACTCCGTGATGTTGAACATGCCCTCCTTTCCTTACCTGTAGGTTCTTTTTGGGTTGGTTACTGGTACAGAGAATCAGTTTGCCTCCCGGAGCAGCACGTTCAACTCCCAGGAACCCCATAACATCCTGCCACTGGCCTCCAGTCAGATCAGGTAAGTAGCTCAGGAGGCTCTGCCAGGCCTGCTGCCTGTTCTCCACAGTGACATCATCTTTCGTGTCTTGAGGTTTGGACTCCTTCCACTGAGCATGACAAGCACAAGAAAGGCGAGGGCAACCAGTCGAGGCGTCGAAACCCAAGTTCAGGTCAGTGCCAAGAGAAGAGGCCCTTGTGGTTCTTCCAACCCCATTCCCAACTCAACTCCCCAACCCCCACCAGCTCTTTTAGAAAAAACCAACTAGGCACCATACGGCAATGCACTAAGGCTGCTTTTAATGGCGGCGCAATAGAGTACAAGGTTTCACTAGCTTGAGCTCATAGAAAGATGCCAATTGACTCGAGCAAATAGCGTCAAAATAGAAATATACCCAGACCCAGACCACAGGCTGTGAAAACGGCACAGCACATGACAGAGATGGCCTCTTGTATTTTGTTGGGTGAGTGACTGTTGACTGGCACCCCGACACTGTGATCAGAGCATGAGAAGACCCTTTGTGCCTTCAGTTGGGTGGGAGATGGGAAGAGATGTGCTTCCTCGAGCACTGTTTTATTAATACATGTTTTGTTTCAGTAGGACGCCATCCATTAAGCCTGCCGGAGCCCTCCTGGGTATTTCTGGATTGTGATGTGTACATGTGTGCTTGACAGCTTCTCTTCTCATAGCACTGTTTGCCTTACTGTTAAAATTCCAGTAAAGTATCCTTTCCCACATTCCTTGCCAACAAACCCAGTAAGATCCTGAGTCCTCAGCAAACATCTGGTTTTAAAATCTGGAAAAACAGTCCTGAAAGGGAAAAAAAACAAGCCTACTTTCTGACCTCTGGGCTTCATGACAGTAGTTCCCATGTCACAGGGCTGGCCCTTCCATGCTGTGGCCCTCAGAGGAGAGGCCATGGAAGGCACTGCATGTTCACTCTCTTCCTGGCATGGGCCTCCTTCAGACTGTAGCTGTATCACACAGTAACCTGCTCTGGTCCAGTCGTCCAGTTCCTCCTTACCAGAGCCATCCCCGCTCCTCAGCGCTGTGGTCTGTGCTGTGTGGCCTCTGAGTGGGGTGCAGTGAAGGGGACAGGCAGGAGGCTACGGGTGCACGCTTAAGGCACTTCCTCTTCCTCTAACAGCAGGCTGGCCCCCCGGCACTCTCCAGGGTAGGCGACCTGACGACACATCCTGGCTCTGTATTCAGACAGCTTGCAAGTGAGGAAGACGACTCACCCACACCGTCGCTGTTCAAGCTCACCTGGCTCTCTAGTGTGACCAAATAAAATGGGGACAACACCCAGGCTCCTAAATAAATACTAGAGCATTGTTTTTCCTAGAGGTGCCTCTGCTCGTGTTTCTACACCACACCATCTTTCCAGTTTCGGTGATAGAGTGTACCCCACCCTCCTGGCAGGGCTGAGGTGCCTGTAGGCATGAGTTACATCTCCCTCCTCTTCCTTCAGCTCTCAAGCCGCTTGCCTTCGTCTGCACTGACCTCTGCCTTGGCTATGGGCACTGCAAGGAGCTAGCAGTTAAGCTGTTAATACACAAGTTCCTAACAGTTACTAGGTATTTCTCTTTGAGAACTGCACAATGTTCTCTATAGCATTTAGGGTACAGAGGAGAAGAAAATAGATATGGAAGTGATATTCTCCCTGGAAATTCAAATGTAAAATGGAGACCACAACTAGGAAAGGTGCTTAACTTGCATGATCTTCAGAGTGGCAACTGTTCTGTTCCAAGGGAGAGCATTTCCACAGACATCTACATACTAAGAGGTAGTACGGCAGTTAACGTCAGTGCAACACTGAGTCAAGCTTCCTATATTTAGGGAGAAAACTTAGGTTTCTTTTCATGGAAACTAGATATTCTTTACTAGTTTATTGAATTAAAAAATGTAAGATCCCGTGTTTTTAAGAGGCTCTTTACATACATACAGCATCTAGTTGACAGATATGGAAATCAGTCGGATGAGACTTCCTCATACACTGCCATGATGCAGCTTTGATGCCCTCTAAAAGAATCCTCTAAAAACTTGCTCCCAAGCCCCTCCGAAATCGCAATAGTGCAGCAAAAACCCAAGTAAACAGCTGCCTGCTGACCCGATACTCAAATATAGACTGAAAGCCAACAGGCATTTTTTTTTCTGTGTGCAACTTTTAAAAACAAATCATTAAGTTGAAATATCCAATCTGCACAGTGCTGTCCCTTCACAGAAGGCAAGAAACTGCCGGAGCATCATGTTGGAGGCCGGCCTCGGTGCTGTAGGCTGTGAAAGTGAGCCTCCTTCAGGGTCTGATTGATGTGGAAGTAAGGGCCATGGCACAGTGCAGACTGCTCAGGCATCGGCTGAGGGGTGCTGGGGCAGGATCCCGGGATGATGTGGCTCAGGCCGCTCTCTGGCCCACTGGCCCTGTCTGGGCTGTTGATGCTGCTGCTGCTGCTACTGCTCCCTCCGCTGTCGCTGCTTGAAGACTGGAAGGAAAAGAAAAGACAAGGTCCTATCAGCCAGTCTCCGGCAGAAAGGCTTTGCTGGGGCTTAAAATAAGAAGCCACATTAAGAGTCTTCTTCGTAAGAGCTGAACAAAACTCCGCTGTGTATGTGCCCACGCTTTCATATGCACTCATCTCGACAGTCACCTAAGATGCCCCCACTTCCTTGCTACTATGAAAAGAACAACAATAAACACAAATGTGTAAGTGTCTCTGTGATGGGACACAAAGTCCTTTGAGTACATGCCCAGGAGTGGTATCTCTCTCTGGGCCATATGGCAAGGAAAACGAACATAGGAATTTTGCATGAAAATGGATGGATCTAGAAATTATGATATTAATATCTATCCCAGGCTTCATGTGGGTAGTAGGCACAGCTTGTAAAGTAAGGAATCAAGAGAAGGGAAAAAGTTTTAAGGAAGTGAGATGGATGGTGTAATGGAAGATATGAGACATGACAGTGGGAAGGGGACTCCTGGGCACAACACGTTAAAGGAGGTGGTGAGATTAGAAACAACACCCAAAAGGGTATCTTGAAAATGGTTACTGTCTGCAGTCAGACACTGGCTTCACACACCTTCCTCTCCGACAAGAAGTGTGGGTATAACCCAAGCATGAGCTGGACCCCACTCCTTTCACCTACAGCTTACTCCTTCACTTCTCTGTGTGCTTGAACCATTCATCTACCATTTCCAGTCATCAAAGGTGGTTCTCAGCTAAAAGACAAGTATCAGTTACTCGTACAGGGGACAGAAAAGGTATGCCCCCCCATCCACAAACTCTGAACCAGGTAACTGAAAACCTGCATGCAAAACAATGTCCTATAACCACTCAGTACACAAACTGCAGTTAAGAATTGGGCTGTGAATCTTGCTGCCATCATGTGGATGTGTGCCTGAGTGTGCGCCATGTGTCCTCTAATAAGCATGACTTCATCAAAACAAACCACTCAGAAACATGTCTGCCCTTTGACACTAGTATTAAAGCTGCCTCTCCTTTTTCTGAGTAGGATTTAAGACCTAAGGAAGCAATAAAAACCCTGAGCTGGCTTAGAATTTTGTCTGAAATTTGGCCCTTTGCTATATCCAATGCATATACCCTTGACAAAGGCATTTGCTTTGAAATGTTTACATCTGTATAAAGTCTACACATGAAAGAAAAGACTGGAAAGAAAACAAACCAAACAGTTAAAATGGGAGGATTATAGATACTTTCCCCTATCCTCTCCTATCACTTTTTTTGTCAAGCATTCTATATTTCACTTATAAACACAGGTTTATAAAAGCTTCCAGGTCTATACTTACTTTCGTTGTGTGTGTGTGTGTGTGTTTTGTTTTTTTTTTAAGTATATGAGTACACCATTGCTCTCTTCAGACACACCAGAAGAGGGCATCAGATCTCATTACAGATGGTTGTGAGCCACCATGTGGTTGCTGGGAATTGAACTCAGAACCTCTGGAAGAGCAGTTAGCGCTCTTAACCGCTGAGCCATCTCTCCAGCCCCAGATCTATACTTTCAAGGTGACTATTAAGTCCTAACTCGATGTACAAACATGTAGCTAACGCATCTGAAACAGAAGTGTCCACTGGCAACCTGAAACCTGCTTGTCCGTAGGTGATTTGAGCTGTCTCACACAGGCACACACCCAGTGCTCACAGGGAGTGTCTGTGCCATTAAAATAGAATTCAGAAAAGGATTCTAAGGAAGGCAGGCGGCAGGAATGGCTGGAATTAATTTTCTTGAGCCTTAACTCAATGCCAGTAGCAAAACAAAGTTTACAAAGGCCTTTCCTAAGCTACCTTAACATCCTAGAATGGCTACCTGCACTTTGAGCCGGTCATGAATATTTAAGTAGGCCGTCACTCTGGATCAGAACCCAACCACAGAAAGCTCCTTCCACTTAGTCTGCTTTCTTGAAAATGAAGGCAAGAACTAGAATCTGTCTTTAGTAAGTCAAATTTGCATATCAAATTATATGTGTTTCAAACTATAATAGCCAAAATGACACTCTTCAGAAAAGATGAAAGCTCATTAACAGGTCAGGGAGCCTGCAGAGGTTTCCTGAGCGGCTGGCTGTCTCACTGTGTAGCACAGGCTGCCCCTACATGTGGAGTGCTTCTTCCTCACGCCCCCATGGACAGGGATGACAGGGAATACTGCCACACCAATGCTCTAGTTCATTGTTTTTGTTTCCTAGGTTCACTTTTAAATTTTGCAATCCTACTCATGGTGACATGGGTAAAACGTCTCACAAACGAACATCTAGAAGAACTGGTTACACTGTAACACATCTATTACATACTTACTACAAAATTATCCTCAGTATTACCAAGGACCAGAAACTCACACATCTACACAGTCTCTTTTTCTTTAAATAGAACACTACATATAGTGATATAATGTACAGGGACAGAATTGTTGTTTTGTTTTTGTTTTCTTTTTTCTTTTTCTTGAGCTAGCAAGATGGCTTAGCACTTATTTGCCACCAAGCCTGACAACCTGATTTTGATCTCTGGGTCCATCCTGTTGGAAGAAGAGAATCAATTCCCCCAAAAGTTGTTCTTTACACATACACAATAAATTAGTGTAATAAAAATTCCTTTTAAAAATATTTTCTTTCCCACACACCCAAAGGAGCAGCACACACTTGGACTCTGAGTTTTTAAAAGAACACAAAGCTGAGTGCAGAGGGAAGTGGAGGTAGATCTGTGAGGAGTTGGGGATCAAAACATACTGCAGAAAATTTTGAAAGAATTTATAAAATATTTTAGTTTAAAAACAAACTATCATATACATACTATGCACATCAAAAAAAGTCTGGAAGACACAGGTGAGGCATTTAGAATTTGGATTTTCTACATTATTTAACTATTTTCCTTTTTAAAATTCTTCTGTGTGTGCACGATCACACAGACACACACATACAGACAGACAGACAGACAGAAAGACACACACACACACACAGAGTTTATGTGCACAACATTCGTGCAAAGCCTGAAGGCCAACAGAGGGCATCTGATCCCGAGACTGGAGTTACAGATGGTTATCAGCTGCCATGTTCGTGCTGGCAATTGACTAAGTCTGAAACAGCAGTATGTGCCATTCAGTCATCTCTCCAGATCCGGTTATTTTATTTTTTTAAGAGTTTACACACGCCAAGCAGTGGTGGTGCACGCCTTTAATCCCAGCACTTGGGAGGCAGAAGCAGACGGATTTCTGAGTTCAAGGCCAGCCTGGTCTACAGAGTTCCAGGACAGCCAGGGCTACACAGAGAAACACTGTCTCGAAAAAACTAAAAAGAGTTTATACACACAAAATGTATTTAGAGGGGAAAAAAATTAACCACAGGTAAAAAAAAGTTACCACAAAACAGAGTAAGGTCTTTAGTGACTTCCAACTTCAAGACTGTGACTCTGAAAAAGCTACTGGCCTGTTTTAGAATTATGAAACACGGTTTCACCTTCCCTGACTACCAAGGGCTGAAAGGCTTGCTGGCTAGAATGATTCCTCCAGGGGATGCTTCTCATCAAGGTCTTCCTTCCATGTTCCAGAAGAGGAATGGGACAAGTGCTACAAAGCCCCTCCCTCAGCCGTCTGTAGGCAGGCAGGCCCAGATTAACTGCATTGCCAGTCTCGGAACACAAGCACCAAGTGCCCCTGTGCTGTCTGCCTACCTGCCCTCCCAGCCACAGATGAAAAGTAAGGTTCCTTCCCAGTCTGAAAATATGAAATGGGCAAAGATTGATCCAGCCCCTCTCACTAGGTGATGCTAACTTTTAGTATCAGGTGGCTGCAAGGGGGAACTACCCTTGTTACACTTGTGTTTAAAAGGCACTAAATTATTTTACCAACACTGGTGCCCTGCTGTTTGCTAATAACATCCTCAGGAAAGCACTGGCCACTCTGAAGAGTCTTGTTTTGAAAACTTAAAGGGGTCTCAAATACAGGCAGTCATCATATCCTCATAACCGCTGACAGCACAATGCAGCCAGAAGAGCACTGTCCTGGTAGAAATTGTGGAGTCCTTGTGGGCTTCTGATGTACTTGACAGAACACCAGCTGTTCTCATGCCCGCTATGCAAACAGACGTGTGTGCTTGCTATTAGGCTGTCACCAGAGCTGCTCAGGCACTTGGTGAACATTTACTAAACTCAGTCAGGGGAAATGGTGGTAATGCATCATCTATAGACAACCAGAGTCTAAGACTGCTCGCAGAGGTGTATGCTGGGTAAACATGAGAGAGGAAGGAATCTAAGGGTGGCTCCACTAGTCTATGAGCTAAACTTTGAATAGGCAGGAAATGACAAACCAGGAGAGCCAACAAACTCAAACAAATGGAAAAAGTGTATCTTGAGGGTGACAAATTCCCAGTGTGGTACAGCTGGACTGTGTCAGGGGCTGATGAACCATAAAACACAAAGAGGTCACGGCTAGAGTACAAGAGCCACCGAGGCCCCAGAGAGGTTCTGAGCACTCGAGGCATGCTCTAGTTGGAGTAAGTTGGGATCCCAGGGATCTATCTGTATGTGACGAAGATACGGAAAAGGCCCATTGAGGTTTCCTCATAAGGCTGAGCAGGAGGTAGGCACAGGGGACTAGAAATGTTGATGGCGTATGTCATACCCCAGAGAGAGGCTGCAGGGCTCAGAGGGAGATGGAGACACCCAGCTGACTAAGGACGCAGGATATGCATGCAAGGGCAGCAGGTATCAGGAAACACTTGCTGAATATCAACCACACTGCTCACACTACCTGTTAGTTTTTAGCTGAGTCAACAAGGAAGCCAAGCAAAGAGAGGAAGGGAATGTTCCTGAGAAAATAACACAGGCTACAGACAAGCAAGGCAGATGGGGGTAGGGAAGGAAAGTAGGAAGCTGCAGATGGGTGAGTTAGGAAGGAGAAGGGCACAGAAGCAGACCAGAAAAGAACCGTGTTCAGACCATGAACCTGAAAAGTACAAAGGGAGAAAACCCATCAATGG